AGGATACCTTCTGTTGACCCAATGTGCAGGTTGGTTGGCACATTGGCAGGGAGTATCACACTCAATGCCCTATCATAGCGGACCCATACCTTCCGCATGTCGGGTTGATGATCCACTTCCTGAGTAGTGTGTTTCCTGCCTGTGGGGAATGCCTCTGGAAAGATGAGATCTGGTGTCTGTAGAACCGTTGTCGTCTCCAGATCTGTGGTACCGTTTGGGGTATTGGAAGATGGCTGTACTGCTAACAGGTTGAACAGGTTGAGTTGGGCGTGGTTGGATGACACCGGTGGTACAGGGGTTAAGGCAGGGAGAATGTTGAAGGTATACTGCTGCCATGTGTGGTGTTGGTTGGGTTGAAGTAGTCTTTGTAGTCTTATCCTCCTCCTTGAGGGCCCTCAAATGGTCAATGACTTCATCTCCACAAGGTGGGATGGCAACATCTATATCCACTTGGGGCTGAGGGGATGGACCAAGATGGTCCTCAACATCACTCATCAATCCTGAACCCAAACCAATTGGTTCTGAACTGCTTTGAGACTGTGCTATAGAACCAGTGGTTCCTTCCACACCTTGTCGCATGGGCAGTAAACCATTAGGATGGTGATCCAATGAAGAGGATGCATTGGAAGGAATAGGACTGATCCCTCCAATACCCATGAGGCCAAGTTGCTTGTTGGTTTGGTCCATCAAGGTGTGAACCAGGCCATGGATGATGGAGACACTAGACTGGTTGATGTCCTGTTGTTGTTGGGATAGCCTGGCCTCAAAAGCAGCCTGGCGCTCCATGGTCTCCTCCTTCTGTTGGTGCAATGCCTCCACCAGTTGTGCTAGCTGTTGGCTAATCATGGTGGTATCATGCTTGGCAAGGTTGGAGGATGCAACAGATGATCCACTGAGTTGGGAAAATGGTGGGGGAACCACGGGTAGCCGGTGGACTGAGGGTGGATCCACTGGTGACTTGACAGGAGTGGATGGTGGTGGTTCAGTGCTACCTGGTGGTGTTGCCGGTGGTGGTGGTGGTGGCACCGGTGGTGTATTTGTTGCTGACGGTGTTGCCACATCCTGTGGTGGTGTCTGTTGCTGTTGCTGCTGCTACAGCTGTTGCTGTTGGCGTTGCTGCTGCTGCTTCTTCCTCCTCTTGCTTCTACTGGTACCCATGATGACCGCTGTTTGTTGTGCTGGCTGAGTGTGGTTCTGTAGAGGTGTTGGACAAACGCTGTCACCAAAAATCCAAATGGTGACTTGAGGTCTTGCACTGTTGGTCAATGACTAAACAGAGGCTGCTTGACACACTGGTAACCTTGGAACCCTTCCAAACACTTCGAAAGGTGGTCTCGTGGTGTTGCGAGTTACTCCTGTAGTGTACTCGGAACAGTATACGGACCCAAGGAGTTCACGGAATCGATCGAAATGTGAGGCGACTCGGATCTTCGGCTCGGCCTGCTTTCGGAACGGAGGTACGGTACCCGTTCTGTGAGTACCGTGTGAGTACCGGTTCCCTTCACCGCAGTATCCTCCTCCGCAGGCACGACTGGGACTGTGAATTTCCATAGGAAAAGAAAGGATCGACAATGGAGATCTGCCGCTGCTTGTACTCGATCGGCAGCCGTAACCAAGCCGATTAACAAAGAACTGGCTGGACCAATCTCTCAAGCACCCTCGGGTTGGTAGGTGACCGTCTTGGTTTGAACGCTACCACTCTGTTACTCGTTGAGTTTGGTCGATCGGCAGATTTCTGTCGCGATTTTCTGTTGTTGGATCGGCAGAGACTTGGACTGATCGATGGAGACGTAACCAAGGCAAATAACAAGCTTGCAACAGCGGTAGCCTGTCAAGCCGCCTTTACTTGGTAGGTGGACCTGTGGATACCTCCTCGAACGGTCGCGATTCCAGTTTTCGGTCGTCGATCTGATCGGCCGATGATTTTCCTTCTTCCTCTCTTCCTCTCTTCCACACGGAGCCACTCCTTGTGCCTGCAATCTGCGACAATGTTAATCCGATGAGATTCAGTCAGGGTAGATGCACAAGGAGCTTGGAGTGGAGAGCTCTGCTTGGAGGTCTCACTCCTCTGGCACTTGGGAATGCCCAGCCACAAAGCTGGCTGCCACTGTTATTCAATCTCCACAGCAATGATTGAACAACTTACTCTTTGCCTTGGCACAATCCACACAGGAAGGCTTCAACTGTGGGGAAACTAGTGCTACTGAGGCTGTATCTGGTCAACTATCCTTTCATTACTTCTTCTTCTTTAAACTATGCTAAAATCAACTGAACACAAAATCCTCGGCAGCACTCAGCCATGCAGCTTTGGCTCTTCTCTTGCATCTCATTTGGCTGGTGCTGGCAAGCTAACTTTCTATATTGGTCTTGGCTGAAGAACTGCATCATCCTTGGGTATATAGAGTTCCTCAGCTATTTCTGTATTGCCAGATGGCTGCACTGCTGACCTTACTGTTGGAGTATACAGATGTCACAGCGATTCTTCCACCTGGCTAAACCAGCACAGCTGCTTCGCACCACAATGGGAGTTCACGTGGATTCCCACTCATCGTGAAGCACCACCGAAGAGACAAATGCTTTCTTGATTTCAGAACCACAAGACAGAAAGCCAATTGAATGTTGTCTCATATCGGTGGGGTACGCCGGTCCAGTACAACATTGATGCTGTCCAAAGTCCTAAAACGAGATCAGCTTTGTTGTTGGTTGTTGTGTTGGCTAATGTTTCCTTGTTGCTGCTGCCACTGCTGTCAAGCGGATAGCTTCAAGCTGGTTGTATGGGTTCTGGCTCCAGCTGGCTCATTTATGAATCATCACTTGCACCACTGCACGTGATCGAGTTGCACTCATCTTATCACCATGGTGTTCCACTGGTTGTTGCTCCAGTTGTTGCCATTCCTGGAATAGCTACATCCTCCTTATTGACTGTCTATGGCTCCAGTTGTCGGTATGCCTTTTGGTTCAGTGTGGTTATAGTGTGTGCGGAAATTTGAAAAGCTAAACCGCTACAGGATTTACTTGTATCATACAAGAGCGAAGCATTGGATCCTTCTTTGGCTCGAGTATCCTGTCAATCATGTGGTATCTGGTATGGAACTGATAGCTCAGATATACGTTTTAAAAGTCGAGCGGTCGCACCTCTGCTATCAATCGGACAAGACAGATCACCCCGGAACAAATACAGGCTGCCTTGATCAATTGATCGCCCCGGATAATAAGATCCACTGCTACACAGGGCAAGGTTCCATAGATCAAGTCCTATCTCCAGCCCCGTTGAATCAATCATTGAAAGACAATAGGAGAATACATTATTATCAATAACAAGAGGCTGCTGTCACCTCAGCCTAGCACTATCGGAGCACCAGTTGCCATGGGACTGTTATAGTATTCTTTTCTGCCACAAAAGGCCCTTCTTTCCAGCACTGGTTAGATGGCTGGGAGGAGTTGCCGTGAGGCACCTCGTTTCCCGGTGAGACCTTATTCCTCCTATGGAAAGAGAAATGCACTACGCTAAAAGCTAGTGTAAAGATCTTTCGAGTGTTTTGAGTTTGAGAGAATGAAAGTTATGAGAGAGATTAGAAAGCTATGAAAACTAATCAACGAGAGAGATATCATAAAGGGATCGTAGATCTGGTCTCCCGCGGGAGACTATAAAGTGTGATAGAGTAGGTTGCGGTAGTAATCCTACGTATCTCCACGATCCTAAAACGGAACGCGTGGAAGATTTGTCTAGCATGGATCTAGTAGCGTGGAAGTACTCCACGCTGGCTAAATATCTAGAGCGATGTTTCATCATCATCCTAGTATGACTAGAGCGGTCATTGAGAACCCTGTCTCAAATGACTATTCACGAGAGACTCAGTCATGAGTCGAACTCAAACCCTATCTAGGATCGAGTCGCGAATAAGGCTAAGAGCCGTGTATTGCAGAATCAATCCACCGTCGCAACAATCAACCTGTTTCTTCCCACTTCCCGCCGAGCCCTTTACCTGATATGACAACACCTCTACACCGTCGATCACCTTTCTATGGATTGACCCATGTTCTTTTCTCGGCCCATGACAGTCAAGTAGGGGAATTTTGAAGATCGACGGTAAGTCACAATGACAGATAAGAGAGGCTGCTTCGGTTATTACTGCATTACGGGGGAGGGTCTGCCAAATCCAGCTCCATTATTAGCCTGAGCAAACAGATCGTCGTCGAGTCAAAGGTAGCAACTGGTCAACTGGAGGCTACATGATTAATCCCTTTGGATACGGTAACATTATAGGCTGCTTCCATGGTTGTGCTACTAGAACAATCTACCAGTACCTTGGGAGAACTGATGATTGCTTCTTGTTGTTGATAAAGTTGCGGTGTCTGTTCTTTTTGTAGCTCCTCCTGTTTTGCTTCTTGCGCTGATAGTGTCCTGTTGTGGACAATGCTGCTGAGGTCGATAGTTCCTCGTAAGTAGTGGTAGCAGTGGTTGTAGTGGTAGTAGTGGTAGCAGTGGTAGCCCATACAGTAGCGTCGTTGGATATTTCATTACCTGGCTGCTTGCTACTATGAATTCGTTGTTCCCAATGGATAAATCGCTGCTGATAATGGTAACCGATTGGCTGGCTGTAGCTGAAGTGGTAGTGGGTTGCTCATGGATTCCAACACCTGTGCCATACTTGTCCACATCCACCAAGGTCTCTTTTCCAACAGTTTGAAACGTTCATATTCTGTCCTGTTTGGTATCAACACTATCCATACTGGTACCGGTATCACCCAGCCAGAGTAATTGCCAAAGTAGTTGGTTCATTATTTGTGCTTTTCGTGAAGGATCCCCATGGCTGCTCAGAGCAATTATCTCATGTTCTACAACTCTACTGCTGCAGTCGCCCATTTCGTACTCCAGTTGGTATTGCACTGTGTCTGTTGGTCAGTAATTCCTTGCTGATGTTGGGCAACAATTCCCCTTTTGTTGTGACGGAAGAGACAAGTGATGAAAGTGCTTTATGTGCAGTTGTTTCCTGTGTTTATCTTCTTGCATGTTGTTGTTGAACATTATGGCTTCTCCTTGTGCACATGCCATTGCGAAATGAGGCTATCATTCTGGCTGGACCAATGATCTACCGGTACTAGCTGGACCAAGGGTACCGGTACGTACTACCCATAGCTAGTCTACTGGTACGGGTACCGGTACCGGTAGTAAGTAGATCTATAGTACCGGTACTACTAGTAGCTAGTAGTCTAGCTAGCTAGTACAGCAAAAATGTCTAATTGGCGTCAAACTGGTTTGCTTTTCCTTCAGCTTCCTTTTACTGTACTGTAGCGCATAGACTACTAACTCCGCTGGCTGAGGTCTCCTTGGAGCCTCACGCACTTTCCGCGCCATCTTGCAACAGCGACTGAATCCATCAGTCAATCATTCTTCTGTCATGACTCGAAATAGCAGGACAGCGTCCAAATTTGCAAGACCGCACCCAAAAAGCGATTTGGACCAGCGCTAGAAATTGGCTCACAACTCGGACAACAACCGAAACAACTAACTAACCAATCCAAAACAAGGCGATAAAGCAGCGACAATGACAATGACAATGACTCTTATCAGTACTCAGACAGCTGAAGGAAAGGACCCCATTGGCGCATCCAAGCTTCACACTTCCAACCAGAACACTGATATGATCTCAAAGCAGGAACACCTTAAGATCCTGGCCCTTCAAAGACAAGTAAACGGTCCTCAGGATGAGCTGCCAGTAGACCCCCGCACTGGAACTGATCGGCTATTCAAGCTGGTCTACGGCTTTATGGCACGGTTGCATACTGGTTGCTGGCAATGAGTTCATCTAACTTGACTCTCAATGCTCTGTGTACATTGGAATTCTATCTTGCATTGCTCCCATTGTTCTCAATGTGGACCTACTTCATTTGTTCAACTTGCAACCTATGTCAGGTCTATGTCCCAACATCTCGCATTGAAGGATGGTTGCCCATGTCGGTCCCGCATGGAGTTGAAGTTCACAAGCATCATACGGCACATTCCATCTCAGTTCTGTCCAGCGTGAGAGGCAGTCAAGCTCGACTCACCTTATGTTGTGTGTAGCATCTGAGATTGCATGTGTTGCCTTGTTCATTCTCATTCATCAAGACCTGCAATTCCGTCAGGCACAGATCTTTGTGTTCAATGACAAACTTGATGCCGCCCCAGTGTGTCTCCTTCTTTCCATCACTGGAATTTTCTTTTTGGGGCATTTTGATTTGAACCGATATGACAATACTGCATATCTCTTGCACTATGCAGTTGCTGGCTTTTTGACCCTTGGAAGTTTGGGGCTTGTTTTCCTTGATGAATTTTCATTGCTAAGTGTTGGGCTCACAGGTGGATTTCTGGTGTTTGCTTCAGCCTTCTTTATTGTGGGCGAGCTTGTCCCTGCTTATTCGGAAGATGTGGCAAAGGTCAGCTTCTATAGCAAGCTTTGCGTCATTATTGAAATCATTGGATTTCTACATTTGGGATTGATTCTTGGTTTCACCATGAATGCCAGTGGTCCAAACAATGGCAACATTTGGGCTTCACCCTTCTACAACAGCCAAGCAGTCAATGGCTGTCAGGCCACTCTTTGATTACCTTTATCGATAAATGGCAGCGAAACTCGTATGTCTTTTAAGGAGTCTGAAGAAACTCTTTCTCGTATTGCCACTAGCTAGTAGAAGCATCCATCATCACAAAATGACATGACACGACCGTCTCGTGTATTGGTACAGGACAGGAGGCGTAACACCACCGGCGCTCTGCTCCCAATCAAGCTGAAGTTGATTCTTCGTGCCCCAGATGCTGCGCCTCGAGCTTCCTGAACGCCACCATCACCTTCCAATGACAATGTATGCGCGGAACGTCCAGAAAATGTGCCATAAGACTGAAGGAGCGTCCTTAGATAATTATCCTACTCTAAAGTCCCCTAAGAGTTGGAAACATGAGAAAATAGATACTCTCTACACGCTGCTTGAAACACATTCCTGGTCTTGTGGATTGTAGACACAGTCAACACCCAGGCAATGGACATAACTCGTTCTTTCCACTCCATCCATACAGAGTCCACAAGCTGCGGCTAGTGCGCCGTCTCCACATTTGACAGGTTTGAAGGTGTTACCTTCATCATCCTTGCACATCAAAACTGCTCCTCCTGAGAGCTCACAGTTGCTGGGGAATTGAGGTGTATCTATGTACCGGAACGCAGATTGCTGGGATGAGTAGTCTTGGTTTGGCTGTTCGTATTCTTCGTCCTCGGCAGATTGCTGGGATGAGTAGTCTTGGTTTTGCTCTTTGTATTCAGCGTCCTCCGTGGTCGTGCTAGATCCAATCTCATAGTATTCGTTTTGCTCGGACTCCTCGTCTTCTTCATCCTCAGTGGTACTGCTAGATCCGGTCCCATAGTACATGTAGTCGTTTTGCTCGAACTCTTTGTCGGACTCTTTGTCTTCTTCTTCGCCCTCGGTACTGCTAGATGCAGTCTCATGGTATTCGTTTTGCTCAGACTCTTCTTCTTCGTCCTCGGTGGTACCACTAGATTGGGTCTCATAGCCTCCACAATTCTTGCTGGGGAGTTTGTCTTCTCCGGAGTTGGCACTGCTCCCAGCCTCGCTGAATCCTCTCTCAAAGCCACTCATGAAACCAACTTGGTACGATTCCATGCAGGAAAGCACTTTTTGGTAGTGGTTCTCGCCGTTTTGGTCTTCAACACAAGCTTCCATGGACATTGTGTTTCTGTATATTGATGTGAAATCACCTATAGTAGCACCATGGTGTTGATAATGCTCAAACCCTTGCTTGAAACCAATCTCAAAACCTTCCTCGAAGATCAATTTTTCGGTCTGTGTTTCAACTCCAACAGTTGTTGTTGGGATGTCATAGGCTGTTGCCACATTGTCCTAAAGTGGTAACTAGAAGTGAGCCACTCCAAGTTTGAAAGCTGGCAATTCACCAGAGCACAGAGAACTTACTCCGTTGTCATGCGTTTCGACTCCACCAGTCGTTGTTGGGGTAGCATAGGCCTGAAGCGGGAAGTGAAAGTGAGCCACTCTTTTAAGAAGTTTGAATGCTGACAATTCACAGGAGCACAGACAACTTACTCCATTGTCATGTGTTTCGGCTCCAACAGTTGTTGTTGGGATGTCATAGGCTGTTGCCACGTCCTGAAGCAGAATCTCAGTAAGCGAATCAATCCAGGTTTGAACGCTGACAATTCACCATAGCACAGAACTTACTCCCTTGTCAGCACCAGCTTTGTCTCCCTTGTTGGCATTGTCTCCTTTGTCAGCGCCATTGTTTGCTTTGTCAGTGCTCTTGTTTCCTTTGTGCTGTCACGAGAAGTGTGCATGTATGTGAGGTCTTTGATTTTCCTTGACCAGCATAATTCGATTCATTCATCATCAGCCATGAGTTTTTACATACTCCTGTGCCTCCTTTATCAGCCTTGTCGGCAGTATATCCTTTGTCAGTGCCCTTGTTTGCTTTGTCCTGTCATGAGAAGTGTGCATGTATGTGAGGTCTTTGATTTTCCTTGACCAGCATAATTCGATTCCTTCATCATCAGCCATGAGTTTTTACATACTCCTGTGCCTCCTTTATCAGCCTTGTCGGCAGTGTATCCTTTGTCAGCGCCGTTGTGTCCTTTGTCCTGTCACGAGAAGTGCGCATGTACAAACTGGGAATGTTAGATTGGAAACCAGTTTGAATCAAGCTGAATCGAATAAAGAGTACATACTGCATTGCCGCCGCGGTCGTCGCCGAGGTCGTCTCCTCCCACACCTCTTCTGCTTATTCTGTCTCCTCCTCCAACTAGATTTGCAATATCTGAGGCGTCAAGAAATCTATCACTGTGTGAAACCAGGTTTCGGCGGATCCTTCCACCTCGGACACCACGGTATTTCTTGTGATGGTTTTTCTTCTTGGGATGGTTGTTCTCGAACGAAGTTACTTGGTGCTCATCTGCCAAAGGCACGGCAACACTCCTGGTGAAAACCAAGGCCGCCACAACAAGGGGAAGGTAGGAATTACACTTCATTTCTTGGCTTGGTGTGCCTTTGAGGATTGCATGATTTATGGGGAGCCACGTGTGGTAGCTCCATTGTGGCTACTACAATGTAGTTGTACCGCTGATGCATACTGGTACAGTACAAGACTACATGTGCATCCAAAAAACCAAACGATTTGCATGGGGAAGCATTGGAAACAGGGTTCGCTAACAGTCACTAGGGTTCTGGTTATTGGTTAATGGTTGATCAACCAGTCAAACTAGGTACTGGTTATGGTTATTGGTTGATCAACCAGTCAAACTAGGGTACTGGTTAATGGTTATTGGTTGATCAACCACTGTTATAGGTTATTTATAGGTTGATTAACCAATAACCACTGGTTGAACCAATGGTTATTATCTATGCCCCAACATGCAGTGCAAGACTGTTGTATAGTTTGCTTCCACCCCATGCAGTTGCTTAGGTTGCCATAGCCCCAATCAAGTTCATGTAGGCCCCAACATGCAGTGCAAGACTTGTGTATAGTTTGCTTCCACCCCATGCAGTTGCCTAGGTTGCCATAGCCTCAATCAAGTTCATGTAGGTCCCAACATGCAGTGCAAGACTTGTGTATAGTTTGCTTCCACCCCATGCAGTTGCCTGTGCACACCCTAGGATGCTGCAGCCCTTTTTCTCTGATCCTCCGCAGCCTTCTCCTCTTCCTTAGAGTAAAACTCAAGTTCTTCCATCATTTCAGTAGTGATGTCCTCCACCAGCTCGTCATTGTCTTCTCGGGCCTTGTCACTTCCTGTCTTCTCCTTTTCTGAATCGTGAAGTACTTGTTGCACGTGTTGTTGGAGGATCCTTTTGGTTTCTGTTTTTGGTTGCATCAATTTTGCCACAGCCAGTAAGTGCTTGTGTTCTCGGAGGAAATGACGATTCTTGTAGGTCAGGACCTTCATCTGGAAAGTGAAGTCGCTCTGATTTCCTTTGAGCCTGTCGTCCATCCATGTTGCACCGCTGAATGTTCTCTCTTGGTCGCCGTTACTATCGGATAGGGCAAGAATGAGCAAGAAGAGGATACAATACAGGGAACTCAAGTTTCCCCTCTCTCTCCCACCATTCCATGAAATCGAACCTATCGGCAATGAAGTCGATGTGCTTGGGCCAATCATCCTCAGTGCCAAGCTTGTCGAGTTCCTCCTCAGTGACCGGCTGCCGCTTTTGTTTTCTCATGGCAGATACGAGTTGAACTTGTTCTTCTTCTTGTCCGTCACTTGTTGATAATCTGTGTAATCTTGTCGACCCCATCCTGGTCTGGTTCTTCGGTGGAGGCAGCGGCAACCGTCTTCTGTTTCTTTCCTCCTCCTCTCTTCCAGTTTGGAAGCCTCGAATTTGAAGTTGCTTCTTGTGGAGCCTGACTCTCCTTGCTGCAGTGGCAGGGGCATCCTCTTTGAGCATATTGACGCAAATGGTCTCCATGGCTTGTCTAAGTTCTTAATGTTGAAAAACGACTCCCATTTGCTTGAACTTTTCTTTTGCCAAGTCTTGAACGTGCTCGGCCAATAACTCCAGTTCAGCAAGGCCCACAAAACGTGAAAGGGTTGAGCATCATGCAAGAAGGCGGATCTGGTTGAACTCCTTGGTGACGTCGGCGCCGTACTCAGGGAATTCATTGGCCAATCGATCCACCAACTCCGTCGAGGAATCATCAAGGTCGTCACTAGCATGTTCAACCCTTTTCATTCCCACAATCGCATTGAGCTTGGTACATGGTAATCATCCCCATCCACAACAGGAGGGGGTTCGTATGGGGTACCATCGTAGTGCCTCTTCGGGAATTGGGCGTCACCATCCCACCTGTCTCCAACGTCAGGTGTTTGGTGAATCCTTGTCTCGGGTACCCACCATACCTCTGGAACAAAGTAGAGAACTGCAGTCCGGAACAAAAAGTAGTAAGTGTAGGAAATAGCACCAAACCTGTCTGACTGGACCTTCAGAATCAGAATGTACATTGGGTACTGGATGGCGTGTGCTGTGCCAGAAATAGTACCTCTCGTCTGAAACCCTTCTTGCTTGCATCTTGAAGAAGAATGCGCGTAGATTCCACCGTGCTAGATCATCTCCCATAATGAATCACGACACCTCCAGCTCTTTAGAATTTGGAAGGCCAACCCGGCGGCCTGTACGACCCTCATCCTGCATCTGCTGTATGAAGAGGCTTCTGTTCTTCAAGACAGGCCATGCAAGCCATGTAGGGGCGGTTCAGATCAATCTGCTTCCTCAACTTTCGTTTTGCCGTTGAGTCAAGATCATCCAGTTCACGCCAGTCCTCCTCTTTCCGAATCTTGACAACTCGAGCAACCTGCCAAATTGCAGACGACTCTTGGTATTCTTGAAGTCACTCCTATAGAGAATCAAATAGAGCCTTGGCTTGAGCATACCCAACTAGTACCTGCTGTCGTTCTGCAGCATAATCATCATCGTCTCTTCCCTCCCCCCTCTTCCTCTGCATCGTCTTCGTCCTCAGCGTCGGCCGCACCCAGTCGTTGTTGTTCCGGAGCCGGAGCCTCTGTTGAGCATCCTCCTCGTCGATATCATTGAAGGCACGGCAGCATTGACTGTCTTGACAATGAATTCAGCATCGTCTACATTCTCCTGGGAATAATGTTGCAAACTGCTCGATCGTCACCATCCGCCATGGCAGAGGCTATTTCGGAGTGCACATCAGAATCCCCTTCGGTACCTGCCATAGGGTCCAATTCTGGATTCATTCTTGAGGGCTGGGACGGTAACTCAGATAACAACGGTCTTGAACGATCAAGGACAAAAGTGGGCTTGGACGGTAACTGGCTTGGACAGTAACTGGCTAGGACGGTAGCTTCATGCAACGACAAGCAGCCACGACAGTAGCTACCTTGCTTCGACAGTAACTACCTTGCTTGAAGGACAAAACACAGCCTGGACGGTAGCTATCTTGTAGGCAAATACCTAGACAACCAGTCAAATCAACCACTCGAATCAACCAATAACCACTCGAATCAACCACTCGAATCAACCAATAACCAGTCGATTTCAACCAATGGTTAAAACGAAGGCTAGAGGTTCCCCTTTTCAAGTATTGGTTGGCGAATTTATGAGATGAAACGGCAAGTTCGAAATTCGAAATCAACCAGTCGATTCAACCAATAACCAGTCTAATCAACCAGTCAAATCAACCAGTAACCAGTCAAATCAACCAGTCGAAAACGTCCTGGTTACTGGTTAACGGTTGATCAACCAATAACCAGTGAAGTAGACTGGTTAATGGTTGTGGTTGATTCGACTGGTTATTAACCAGTCAACCAGTAACCAAAACCAATAACCAAAATTACTGGTTAGCGAACCCTGATTGGAAATTCGATCCGTTGGCATTTCGTGGACCCTTTGGGGGCCTAACTACCAACGTCCAGTCGCGTATCTTTTTTTTGATTTCAAGAGTCAGTGACTCAGTCATGCCTCGAGTTGTCACTTTGCCACTCGCAGATCTCGACAGCAAGAATTCGTGCCTCCATGCACTCGGCTGTTATCCTCTTCAGACTTCAGAACACACACGCGCTCTCTCTGTGTCTATTTTAAAATAAAACTGTTTTAAAATAACATCAAAGAAATATCATGGCTCTATCTTCGACAAGCGCTCGCCATGGCGTCATTCCAGCCATCCAAACAGTGATCCGCATGATGCAACGACCCGTAGGTGAGATTGTCCCCGGAAAAGATCTCGTGGCCAGCCAAGAACCGACACCCACCGTGGTTGGCAACGATCAAGTTCTGCTCCAGCGACTGTACTTGTCACTGGATCCTGCCATGCGTGGTTGGATGCGAGATATTCCCTCCTATATGCCACCCGTCCAAGTGGGAGCCGTCATGAGAGGCTACACCATTTCACAAGTAGTAGTGGCGGCAGACGGCAGCCAGAGTGGTCGTTTCCAAGTCGGAGACATTGTCGTCGACAATTCCATGGTGGGTGGGTGGGACCAATATGCCGTGGTGCCTGCCAAAAAGTGTTCCAAATTACCCATGCTTGATAATAATATTCCCATGACGGCTCACTTGAGCGTCTTGGGTTTGACGGGCATGACGGCCTATTTTGGATTGATGAAAGTAGGCAAACCACAACCCGGCGAAACCATTCTCGTGTCGGCCGCAGCCGGTGCCACGGGCAGTGTCGTGGCGCAAATTGCCAAGAACGTCGTGGGATGCAAGGTAGTGGGAATTGCCGGAGGACCACAAAAGTGTCAATGGCTCTTGGACCAAGTGGGATGCGATGCCGTCATTGATTACAAATTGGCCAACGGTGACGGCCGCAAATTCCAGAAACAACTGCAACAAGCCTTGAAACAAGTCGACTCCAAAGGATATGACATATTTTTTGACAATGTCGGTGGATTTATTTTGAATGAAACACTGCGTCGACTCAACCTACGAGGGAGGGTCGTGCTCTGTGGAGCCATCAGTGGCTACAACGTGGAGGACCAACGATCCACGCAAGTGGTGCCTCCCACCAACTACATGGCATTGATATCTCTCCGGGCAAAAATTGAAGGATTCATTGTGACAGATTATGTGCGAGAATACAAGGAGGCCAAACGACAAATGGCAGAATGGATCGCACAAGGGAAAATCAAATACAAGGAGGACGTACGAGAGGGGTTGGAACAGGCTCCCGAGCATTTAAAGTCGTTGTTCAATGGTGGCAATACGGGCAAGCTCATTGTCAAAGTGGGAGAACCAATGACAGGAACAACAATGCACAGATCGAAACTGTAGCTAGCAAACTACTGTAGACGCTGAAATCTCAAAGCAAGTGTACATAAGATTTATATCCTAATACGGTATTAGTTGGATATCTCCCTTGGAAGCACCGCAGTACATGGTGATACCACACTTTTGGAGTTCATTAAAGTGTCCTTTTCCGCACTGGCACTGGCACCGGCTGGCCACGCAATGAACCACAGTACCACACTCCCACTACTTTACCACACAATCAATGGCATTCCGATTCAAATCCCGGTCAATGCAGCATCTGGCCAAGGTCCTGGGTTTGCACGGAGTAGTCCATACCAGAGATTGTCAGGGTCGTCAGGTTCCATGTTTGTGGCAGCTTCCAAGGCAACCACCAAAGCATCCAATGGGGCTTTTGGGTCGCTCAGCTTTCCCCTGCCACATCCGTTGAGTCTGGTGCAACAGTTGATTTGAGAAAGCATTTGATAATGGACTCGGTTGTCATACATGTTGAGTCCTAAATCAACATCCTCAAGAGACGTATTGTGCTGCATCAGGTCAGCAAACTGTTTGAGGCTCTTGGAGGAATGTTTTGTCAGTGGGTGGGAAAGCCTCTTCAGTGATGTGTTCTCTTTCAGAACATCTGCAAGGGCATCAAGACTGGCTCCATCATCCCACAGAATGGTCAGAGATTCAAGGTGGTTTTGAGCCAGGAGTGCAGCTAACTCATCGCTGACATCAGTTGCATGCCCACCAGACAGAGTCAAGCAAGTCAATGAGTCCAGTCCAGCAACCAGGTGCTAAATGCCTTTCTCAGTATTCATACCCAACCCCCCTCCAAGCTTCAAACTTTGCAGTTTGCTATCAGGCGGAATCGCAAAAGGGGCCCAAGAATCAACCAGCCGTGACTCCTGAACCCAAAGATGACATGATTTCACCTTGACAAACATTGCACATAGGAGTTCGCTCAATGGTTGTATATCAGTGTGAGGGAGCACTGTTACAGAAAATTTATCAAGATCATTTATCCAAAAAAGAATGTCCTTGCAAAGATTGCATAAAACTTCCGCATCTGCTGCGGTTGTACAACTCACATCTTCCTCATTTGGTACCAGACTGATCTCCTTGAGGCTCGGGCATGCCTGTGTGGCCCTGATAAAAAGATCACTCCCATTCAGATGAATAAAACTGAAAAGTACTGGTAGGTGCAATGTTTGTAGTTTGCTTGGCTTCACCTCACAAAACATGTCCAGTGTGGCTTGAAAAATGTCAGTGTTGTCTTCCATTTCATGCAGTTCAAAGCAACTCAGCTTTGGAAGGAAGAGTTTGGTGCGCTGTGTTGCCTTATGGTTCCAGAAACTAACATTGTACCGGTAACTTGTAGAGTCATCATAGCCAATTCGAAGGGTTTCCTGCTTGTCGACACTGCAGAGAGTCTTGGCAAGAAGGTCCGACAGCTCCGTACCATTAATGTCCAAGAACAATGCATTCAATGTAGTAAAGAACCGGGAAATGCTTTGCATCATAGAGTGCATGAAAGATTTGAATGGCCGCTTGATCACCTGGGGGTGTCTCAAAATCATAGTTTTCCTCCTCCTCCAAAATTCCCCGGTCGCGTTGATTACATCGCCTGAGGAACAGTTCCAGGGGAGTTTCAGACAAAATTCTGTCCTCTTGAACAGCTTGCTCTGGAAACTCTTTTGCAACCACCTTGATAGATTCTGCATTGGAGCAACACAAGCAGGCATCCAACACCAAGTTTGGTTCCCGTTCAAAACCAGAGCTATGCCAATCAATGTATTCATTGAATTGAGGATTGACTAATTTCCACATGGCACACAGCTCCTGGATAATTGAAGCAGAAGTACCAGCACACATGAAAGCCGAGAGCACGGTTTGCCCCCCAAAGGATTCTGCCACCAAGGATGGATGTTGCCGCAGAAGTAACATAGCCTGATCTGATTGAAAGGAATCACCTCGTTCGTAACGTGGCAGAAGATATTTTGACAGAATCTCACGTGTAGCTAGGATGCTAAGAGGGCTGTCCTTCTTACGTGAATCTTTGCATCATTCTCCAATCGTCTGCGCTTTAACTCCGATTCCAGCTCTTCCATAGAGAACTCGGAGAGGATACCTTGTTTCTGACTCATCTTGAACAGCAAAAGCAACAGCACTACGCTGCACTACATGCGAACCTTGTTAAAAAGGTGCCGAAAATGAGCTGAGCTCGATCCTTGCCTTGCCCTCACTCTGTTCAAAAAATCATCAAGAAAGTCGGATTTGGATGTGAAGGTAACGGCGGATGCCTCCTCCACCTCGCCATCATTTTCGTTGGAAGAGGTTTTCCACGTTGAAGCGCGAAGCGAGGAAACTGCTCAGAATGGCGAACCCAGAGCTGCCCATACTGGTACTGGTACAGTAGCGAGCATGTTCGTGGAACTTGCTATTGTTACTGGCTGGCTAGTCGACATTGAAGATTGAAGTTTCTCGTCGTGCCCCACTCCAGTCTTTCGAGTTGCCGTGTGCTCCGCGGTTGTTCTCAAGACACTACGCGCTAAGTCGAGTCGAGCCGAGTGACTCTCTCAAGCTAACATATCAGCGGTACCAGGTACGGGTAGCTTCTCCCTATAGCCGCCACAAGCATCACCGCCAATCTGCTGTATGGTACCACTTTTTAATTCAGATTTACTGCGACCCACTATACCAAATATCTAGCTAGACCAGCCACCTGTCTCACTGCCTAGTACTCCTCCTCGAAGCCAGCGCCTCCGCCAGCGGCTTCACCGGGCTCGCCGCTTCCGACTTCTTCGTAGTCCTTTTCGAGGGCTGCAAGATCTTCACGGGCCTCGCTAAATTCACCCTCTTCCATACCTTCTCCCACATACCAATGCACAAAGGCACGCTTGGCATACATCAAGTCGAATTTGTGGTCAATGCGCGACAAGGCCTCCGAGATTGCGGTAGTATTGGCGACCTTTAATGTAGTCGGACGAACGACGATGAATAGATGAGGTTTCATTGGTCAACACATGCATGTGCACTTATCATACGTATCAGCAGCTACTGCACGTACCATACAGACAGCTCGCTTCACTTCTGCGAGATCTCCTTCCGGGACCTGCTTGGGAGGTTCGTAGTTGATACCGCACTGGTAGAGTAGAAAAGAGTATGCCATATCAGATCACAGCAATAGGCAGTCAAAACAAAACCTACTAGCTTGCGAGCCAACTCACCTTGAATCCAGTAGGGCACCAGTCGACAAACTGAATGGTACGCTTGGTCTTGATCGTGGCAACAGCAGCATTCACCTCCTTGGGAACAATATCTCCACGGTACATGAGACAGCAAGCCATGTATTTTCCTGAAAGAGTCGAGTCAGCAACAAAGGTAATACAGGAGATACTTGTGTGAGAATGACACCGAAACTCAATCCAAAACAGCAATTCTTGGAAGGAAAGAGTGCCTCACGTACCATGACGGGGATCGCACTGGCGGTAGGAAAAGGAGGTGCGGGGTGAGTGAGCATAGTGAAATAAACAATTGAAGTCATGCAAGCCATTGCGTGTCACATCATACGCACCTTGGTCATCATATTTTGCGATTCAAAGACAGAGGAGGTAATCTCCGCGACGGAGAACGACTCATGCGCAGCCCTTTCGGAGCTGATCAAGGGTGCATAGGAAGTCAACATGAAATGGATGCGAGGGTAGGGCACCAAGTTGGTTTGGAACTCGGTGACATCCACATTGAGAGCACCATCAAATCGGAGACTGGCTGTCAAGGACGAAATGACCTGCGCAATGAGACGATTCAAGTTGGTGTAGGAGGGGCGCTGAATGCCCAAATTGCGGCGGCAGACGTCGTACTGTGGGAAAAGCGAGAGAAACGTGTGAGCTTCTGGTGTTCAATGCACAACCGTATACAAGTTCAGTCCAAAAATGACTTACAAGAGCCTCGTTATCCAAACAGAAGGTACAATCCGTGTGCTCCAAAAGAGCGTGCGTCGAGAGGACACTGTTGTAGGGTTCCACCACAGCAGTGGAAACCTGAGGGGAGGGAGAAATGGCAAAGCTGAGCTTGGACTTGCGTCCATAGTCAACACTCAAGCGTTCGAGCAAGAGAGATCCAAGTCCCGATCCAGTTCCACCACCGGTGGCGTGGAAGACGAGAAATCCCTGCAATCCGGTACAGGCATCGGCCAATCGACGGATGCGATCGAGCACTTGGTCGACTATTTCCTTTCCGACGGTGTAGTGTCCACGAGCGTAGTTGTTGGCGGCATCCTCCTTTCCACTAATAATCTGTTCCGGATGGTACAGCTTGCGGTAGGCTCCACTGCGGACTTCGTCGCAAACGGAGGGTTCCAGATCGACTGAAGGGATAAATGGATGGAAATGATGAGTGAGATGGTATGGATGGCCTTGCTACCCGTGTGTGTTTTCAATTTAGAATGTACGTACCATAGACAGCCCGAGGAACATGTTTGCCATTGCTGGTTTCGCTGAAGAACTTGGGAAGAGAGGATACAGCATGGATGAGCCTGAATTTCAAAAACAATTGTGTGATCTACTAGTAGTGCCCCAGTGATGCATGGTGAACCATGCCGTCACACCAAACTAGGCTAGCTAGCTAGAGCTTACAGAGCGCGTTGTGTGGAATTCACTCACCGTACTAAAGCTGTCGTCAATGACCCCTTGTTTCTTTTCGACAGCCATGATACCCTCATTGTCAATCCCATGCTCCAAGCAATAGAGCTCCCAGCAGTTGTTACCAGTTTGGATCCCGGCTTGACCGAGGTGGACGGAAATGCATTCTGGAAAAAGCGATAGATAATGGATGAGTATCCCTCTAACGGTATCTTGCCATTATCATCACCACAGTCTCTCGTCAATCCACTTACCACGCATGATGAACGATACTAATCTACTACTACGAAAGAAGGATACAGAGAGTAACAAGCTTGGGTCTCTCGCGACAAGAAACACCCGAGCTAAATGGTAGAGGCAGACGCCAAGGCCAACCAACTGCAGCAGGATATCAGAAGCTGCTTCCCTTTGCTCCGGACATCGTCGATTCCGAGCAAGCCATTCGCATCGAGCGCTGCCAATAAAAATGCGGAGTCGCGGATAAATCGTGACTCGCGACAGGGGGTACGTCAGTGCTGTCAACTGGCTACTCCACCGATTTAGTTGAGAATTCTGGAACCTACTGGATTCTACACAAATCTGAAGATCAAGTTGAGAATTCTACTTTCACCCTAACCCAAACCATCCGACTGATTCAAAATCCTGACTGCTCATTCTGAGGAGTTATCACCTTTTTCAAAATTCTCAACTTTATCGGCGGAGTAGCTGGGATGGTCGTTGGATCTTTCCCCTTTTTGTCATCCTTTTGCATTGGCTGGTTGCCCATGGTACCACCAGTGGTACCAACAACTCAACTTTTGCTACGTGTACTAACAGAGAGAGGTCGTCCTCATCATAGATCCACCCAAGAGCTTGAGTGGCACCATGAATAACAATAATCATCTCACGATGAGACCTATAGCATTGCTTTCTTTTTTGCTTTGGTGCACCAATATTATTATTTTGGTGGAATCGTCGTCGCCCGGTCCACGAAAATTGGTCATGGGAGTGGACGGTGGCACTGAATCCATCCGAGCGTGCCTCTTTGATGCCCACAATGGAGCCATTGTCGGAACATCCTGTGCGACTCCCTACCCAACCAATCATCCACATCCTGGATGGGCCGAACAAAGCCCGGCCGATTGGTACGAGCGACTCGGTGCTTCAGTCCGAGGGGCGCTGGAATCTCTTGCTACAGGTGAAACAGAAGAATACGAAATTTGTGCCATTTGTCTGGATACCACCTGCTGTTCCGTCGTTGTGTTGGATCAAGACCATCAACCCCTCCGTCCAGCGCTCCTATGGATGGATGCTCGATCGGCACCCCAAACCAAGGAAATTCTGCAAAAATGCAAGGGCAATCCCGCCTTGAATATCAACTGTGGAGGGCAGGGACCCCTCTCGGCCGAATGGATGACACCCAAGTGTCTATGGGTGCATCAGAAGGAACCCGAGATTTGGAAACAAGCACACACAATCTGCGAGTATCAAGATTTTCTCAATTACAAATTAACGGGCAAAATGGTGGCCAGTTCCTGTAATGCGGCGACACGGTGGCATTGGAATGGGGAAGAGTGTATTCGCACTGATGATAATGGCAACAATAGCAAGAAGGGGCGACCCATGGCGCTTTACAAGACTTTGGGAATTCCGGAATTGGCGGACAAGTTGCCACAAACGTGTCTCCCCATGGGTGCCGTGGTGGGGGGACTCACCGAGGAAGCTGCGAAACATCTCAATCTACCAAAGGACCTGCCCGTGATACAGGGTGGAGCCGACGCCTTTGTGGGCATGATCGGACTAGGGTGTATTCATCCGGGACAGTTGTGTCTCATTACCGGATCGTCACATTTGCATTGTGTCGTCACATCCAAACCTTCCACGGCACCAGGTATCTGGGGTGCCTATCCGGGAGCCCCAATGCCAGGCATGAACTTTGCCGAAGGAGGCCAGTCGTCCACGGGTAGTATAGTGCGATGGGCCAAGAGCAAGTTGTTTCAACAAGGAGACAGTTTGTCGTACAAAGATTTGGACGATGAGGCGGCTAAAATACCACCCGGTTGTGACGGGCTGGTGGCGCTAGAAACCTTCCAAGGATCGCGGACTCCCGTCACGGATCCATTGGCGCGGGGATCCCTTGTAGGCCTGACACTCTCGCATTCCCGAGCACATCTCTGGCGTGCCTTGATGGAAGCTGTTTGTTTTGGAACTCGCGCTTGTGTCGAAGGTTTGGCCAATGCAGGTCATGTCGCGGATGAAATTATCATTGCCGGTGGGGCTACTCGGTCACCGCTGTGGTTGCAGATGCATGCCGACATTACCGGCTTGCCGGTTGTGGTGTGTGAAAATGGTGATGCACCACTGCTAGGCTGTGCCATTTTGGCCAGTATCGGCGTGGGTATTCACGAGGACGTGGATACAGCTGTCAAAGCCATGGTACGACAATCAAGACGCGTCGTCCCCAATGAGAATGACAAACAAACCTACAAAAGCTTGTACAATCAAGTGTACTCCAAGCTGGGAGATGCTACCCGTCCGATTGCTCACGCCATTGCCGACTTGCGTGGAGGCGGTATTGATGATCATGGTGATGACAAGGCAAAGAAGAGACGAGTTGTCATATCACCTTCATTGCTGGCAGCCGACTGGTCAAACATTAGAGGTGAAGTGGAGAAGTGTATCAAAGCAAAAGCAAGCAGGTAAGTGAAGGAACTTGCTTGTTTCTTTCCCTTGACGACGTCATTCTGTTCCCAACCTGACCCACCTCGATCCCTTCATCCCCCCCCCCTAGCCCAGGCTTCATGTAGATGTCTTTGATGGGGTGTTCTTAGACTCCCCCCATGCTTTGACTTTTGGACCTCAAATGGTGCAAGCGATTCGACGTTCTTGTGATAATTGCGACAGCCAGGCCGTGTTGGATCTTCACATGTGTGTGGAGCGTCCCCTTCGGTATGTGCAGCCCATGGCAGATGCCGGTGGCGATCGTTTCATCTTTCAATGGGAAGCCATGGGAGGCAGCGACACGGGCGCTCTGCAAGAAGCCATTCGACTGGCCAAAGCAGTCATATCCTCTGGGATGCAGTGTGGTGTGTCCATCAACCCTGGTACCGACGTAGAATCCATCCATCCATTGTTGGAAACAGGTCTTGTCGATTTGGTAGATATCTTGGCAGTGGAGCCGGGATTTGGTGGTCAAAAGTTTCAACCGCGAGCATTGCAAAAGTTGAGAGATCTAAAAGAATGGAGGGACCAAGAAAGAGACCGAAGAAAGTTTGAACTGTTGGTGGATGGTGGCATCAATGAGCACACGGCTTCATCAGCGGTGAAAGCAGGTGCCGGTATCCTTGTTGCTGGGACGTACTTGTTCAAGCATCCTGAAGGGTTGCGGGCGGGAGTAGAGGAGATCACAGCCCCGTCACATGGAGGCGCGCAGTCGTGATTGATTATACACTGACTGATTTAATTGGATCACCCCGCAGAGGTACCGTACCGGTAGGAGACGTCCTAGCTAGAAAGACGTCAAAGGTAACCTTTGATGAGTCGACTCGAGTTTAGTCAAAGACATACAGCACCTACCCTACTGGTATGCATGTACACTACAATAGCATTGCCCGTGACAAAATAGATAAACGTATAAGCTTCCTACTATTTTGGGGAGCGGGTACAAAGAGCATACAAAGCATGGAATGCTTTGAGCTGTCGTTCTCCTTCATGATAGCAACTCGCTGCAAGTCCCCGCCTCTCTGCTTTTATTGGCGGTGCACTCATCACAGGCCAGAAAGCTCCGAAAGCAGCTCTACTCTAAAAGTTGTTCAAGTGTCCCGCTTCTTGCACCAAACCTGGGCCGATTCCTTGGCAGCATCGAGAATAGAAAGTTTTCGTTGGAAGATTGGGCAGTGAAATTGGTGGATTGACCAGTGAGCCAGCTGACAGTCTTTGGAGCAGTACTCGGAACACTCGCAGTTGGGGCACCACATTGTTTTTGTTTCCCCCTTGCCACAATTGGAGCATCGCCGGACTTCTGGTTCCTCAAGCAGTTTCTTTTTCATGTCTTTCAAGCAATCACAGGGGATTTTTTTGTCTATATACAGGACCACATCGCGCATGCTTCCACAGTGCTTGGTGCAACACCAATTCATACGGAGATATTTCTCCGTTTCCACCTCATCACCCATGAGTTCAAGAAAATGTTTTTGCGATGTAAGTCCAGCATTGTAAGGGCGACCTTTCTCAAAGAAAATGGCTGCCTTCACGAACTTGGTAAAACAATTGGGGCTTACAGTCTTGGATCCGGATCTGGCTGCCCCTATAGACGCCAATTGCTGATCAACGGTATAAAGTTCACAGATCTGGCATTGGGAAGCTGCAAACCCATACAGATTAGCGACAAAGTCCTCGGCTGGATTCGCTTCGACGATGGCTCGAGACAAATCTTCCCAATCCCATTCGCCGTCATACGATAGATACTTGAGACATATCTTCGTAGAGACGTTATCAAATTTCGTCCCTCCATGACGACAAGAGTGTTCATTATTGATGGCCGCATTGAAATCACAGGTCAAGGGAGGGGAAGTTGCCGCAACAGCGCCGTGGTTCTGTTTTAGATTCTGTGTTGGACTCTTCTTGATGTTCTTCTTCCCTCCCTTTTTCTTGGAACTGCGGCGGTTCTTCATCTTTCTTGCTGCTCAGCGCTGCTGAACGGTAGAATGAGGCCACAGACGGAGGATCTAGGGCAGAAGAGAGCAAGAGCGTGTTCCACAAAGCGTGCAATGGATCGGGTCGGTTGAGTTGTGGGAGGACTGTGCAGTGCAAAAAGGGCATCAGGGAGTGTGATGCAGGGAGCCAATGACGACGGAGCAGGAACAGAAAAGGGAAGGCGGGCAAGAGGGAGGACAGGAGGAAAAGGTCCGTGTGGACGGTCTCCCTGTGAAGCCCTGAAGCAGGTTCAGAAACAACTCTGTCATTGGCCAATATCTCTAACCCTACTCCGAAGCTTGGCCACGAGCTGTGTGAATGAGAACGGCCTCGATGACAAGATACTAGTACTTTAGAATCCCAAGAGAATTCATGCTTCTGCGGCCCCGATAGGTACCTGGTAGCAGCTGTATTACGGCACCGGTACTTTGCACTCACTTGGATCAGGTTCCTGAATGGAGGGGCCCACATCGCCACATGGACACCGGCTCGTGCCTCTAGAGGTTGCCTTCATCGTGTCGAATTCCGCATCTGCCCTGTGTGTGAATTCGATTCGACTTGACGGGGTGAGTTGGGCAAGTTCACCAACTGTGTTACGAGCACGTCACTTGAGAGTGTGTGTTCGTTCAGACAGTGCCTTTTGAATTTTTAGCGGCAGCATCGGAAGAGTTGGTGCGGTCCAGACGTGACTGGTTGATTTCGCAGAGGCTTTGGCACCACAACGCCAAGATTGTGGCCAAGCCAATGGGTAGCTGCACTGTCGCAGTACCGTAGAAACTGCAGCACAGTACCGGTAGGAACGAAAGCACTACCGAAGTATATGTGC